ATTCTGGGAACTCCACCATATCCCCTTGGAAATGCGGTATTTCCAACCTCGGTAACTGAACTTGTAATTCTGAACTATCCTTGGAGTAAGCCTTAGTGGGTTTGGTTTCATTGGACAAACTCTCTTCCATCGTCTGCTTCAAGTATTCCGTCGACTGGGTGAGTAGTTGCGCGTTGATCATGAACTTTTCTGCACTACATTTTTCCCAGTGGTCCGTGAGTTCTTGAAGTAGCTGGTAGCGAGCTTGTTCTTCGTCGAGCTGTTTGGCGTGCTCTTCGCCTCGCTTCCAGGCGTTGGTGAGGTTGTTCATCCAATGACTCAAACCGACTTGAGCCTCCAAAAGCTGCGTCGCGAACTTTGTTACCATTCGTTTGTCGCCAAAGTTCCCGGTCTGCTGCTCGAAATTGAAGATTTCGGTCATTGTCGTTTCCGTGCCCGTGATCTTCTCCTTCAGAGCATTGGCAGCTCTCGTAATTTGCCCTTTGACATAGCCGGATGCAGACATCGCCATGACAGTGTGACAGGTAAGCCACAGAACTCCAAATTCGAGATGTTATCTGAAACGTTGTGGTGTTTGATCGTGTTTTATACGGGTTTTTGTTAAGCGACCGACGTGATATTAGTTCAATGAGTGTTAATATTGTTGAGAGTAGTATGAGGTTCCTGAGTGGAACACATGGATACTGTAATACGCAGAATACACGAGTAATGCATGAATGAAGCCAAATAAAATGAAGCAAATGAAGAAAGGAATAAGGAAAACGCAATAAATGCACCACCTACCTCAGGAATGAACTAAGGTAAGTACTACATTATAAATGAATGTTGCCTATTTTGCTTTTACTGGCTTTATTTTGCTTTCATATTTATTTTTTTTTTTGTGTTTGACATTGTCCTGTAACATTGAGCTCTTACGCGGATGAACTAATCCCTTGAGCTTATTTGGATTATCCGCATGTAGTAAGTGCAGTAAAGTGGGATATGAAACTTCACGTTGAACGTAGTCAGAGGTAAGAATCCCTGGCGATGGTAAGACCCGTTCCGATACACCCTAACCTAACTACCTCATTGGGTGGCCAACCCACACGGTAGAGGGGTTTTGAGAGGCCTCTCCCTCAGTGCGTCCAATTGCTTGGAACTTACAGGTACGTGGACTAGTCTCAACAGTCTACCGGCCATCGCTGTGGCGCTACTACAGCTCTGGCTGGAGGCCGTATATCGCCTCCACTCGCCTTGTGGATTCACCCGTCCCTTTGACTCGTTCCTCCGTGTCCTTCGATGTTGCTGCTGGCCCTCCTTAACCATGCCAGACTGTCGACTAGTTGCCACCCCTAGTCGACTACTGTTGCGGAGGGCACTGGCGCGATCCCCTCGTTGTACTATTGAACTACATTCTTTGAATTAGCCCTTGAGTTGTTCTCCGTTTTGTTTCCCTTGAACTATCCGCAAGCCGTGTCCTGGAGGGCAGTGGCAGGGCATATTTTTACCGGTTATCGATAATCGATAACCGAACGAGTCCGATTCGCCATCGCCGATGCACCATGTTGCGAGTCGGTGGGTCCAGGACAGGACTTGAGTGCCACACTTATAAGGAAACCCCCGGCTGAACTACGTGGGAGCAATAGTGCAAACAGTCAACCCCTAGTGACCGCGCGCTGACACTTAAGTTTAGCTAATGAACTAATTGTCCAAGCCCAGTTGGCTGCACTCTACCGGACAGTGAAACGACCTTAAGTACAGTAACTAGCAGCGATAGTGCTGTAGGGCTTTAACTTCTTTACTACAAACCTAACATACTGCAATACTAGAGTAATTTTATGAATTGCACTACTCTTAATTGTATTAATTAAAACTAATGATAAAATATAAGTAGGCTTTAGTGAATCCTTAAACAACTACGTCGGGTTCGTTTTCCGCTCGACCGCCGATGACCCACATAGATATTGGGACTTAGTAAGAATAACATCCAGGATTAGAGTTCTAAGGGCTAACGCCCTGCGAGTCTGCAGAACCGACCGAACAGGGGCAGAACCTTGATGACAGACGGGGAACACCGGGACAGGCCGTGATGGTGCCGTTGCGAACGGCCCGTGCGTTTCCGCACGATCACGGGTAGGTCGTAGTGGGTCATGTCTGCAGTACTTCGCAGGCGCCGGCGCGCCCAGGGTTCCGTTGGAGCGGTCTTTGCGGTACGCGACAAGTTTTGTTCGGCTCACCGCCATTATATGATTGATGAGGCAAGCCCATGTAAAATAGGGCGGAGGTGTCACTGCGCGAGGGAGCCAACACCATGAGGAAACGCTCAGAACCCGACGAATGGGAAGTCCTCTGTGGTTTTCTATTTGGAGCAGCCAGTGACCAAGAGCTAGTTTGCACGCGCTAATCCCAATAGCCAGTAACGCCAACAAAATCATCCCTTTCATGATAACATATAGCCTAGAGAATAATAAGGGTATGGACGGTTCAGTGATGCCAATGGGCACTTCTTCGCCCCAACGGAAGTTCTACTCACTTCCTTCACCCTTTTTATAATACACTGTGCACACCCACGCCACATTTATCGTCACATTATTTTTTTCAAGGTCCACCTGTTCTCCGTCTTCCGACTGGCTCAATTTTCCATGAAGTGCCCGATGCGCGGACCACCGAAAGTGATTGGAGCTGTTAAAAAAGCAATGGCAGGTGATCATGTTGAACTCCTCTGCCCAGTGTTCGGCTATCCTGACCGTTCGCCTCGGTGGGAGAAGGATGGAGCACCACATAGGTTTGCAATTTCACTTGATTTTTACTACCTCTCCCAGTTTGCATCCGCTGCTCATCTTTATGTTGTTTTTGACTCTTTCAGCTTTTTTGATTTGTTTTCTTAACAACGCCCAGGGGCCATCGTTCCGTAGGCTACCGGTATCACTTCAAAGTATGATTACCTTCCTCACTTCCTTACTTGGGAGCTTTGAATGAATAAGCTCTATAAGTGTAAGCAACTAACCTTCCCATCACTCCTACCTCAACGGCTTATCGAAATTAAGCAACAACCCCAGATAAGGTCATGTCTATTTATCTGTTCTGCGGGGGATAGAGCATTCCACAAGTATCAGAGATGTGCCGTTGCAGCGGCTCGAAAGTGCGGCCAATGGCGCTAAAACGTCACAAAGTGATCTGATGGTGACTAATGTGAATTTATGGACTAGACACCACGTGCACACTCCATGACACGCAAGGGGGTTACGGCGTAGGGGATAAGGTAGCCATACGTAAATAGATACGGTGGTCTCATCGCATTGACGCGCTCGCGTAAAATTCGTTTGGGCGCGTCCTTTCCACGCCATCATTATCCATCACTTTTACTCCATCAATTTGAACTGGGTTTGTTGCCTCAAGAAGTACGAACTGCACACCGTTAGCCACTTAAGAATTCGACATTTCCAGAATTATGGAATGTTCTTGAAGTTATCGGCCAATTACCGCGAAAACTGTGGGGTAGACACAATTTTTTGGGTTTCGTGTGACTCATCAAAATTACCACTGGCCTTTTTTGTGCTCCGGACACACATTTACGTGGTTGATGCACGAGTAAACCTCTGTAAGAATCTACAATGAGTGGAACAATAATATTTTTGGTTCGATATAATTAAACTAAGACTTCATCCAGAGGTTTTTTTTCAGATTCATCGCCATCGATACAGTACGATGGGAACAATCTGATATTAGCGCATGCTGAAGCGACAATGAACGGTGTTTATACTTGCATTGCTGACAACTCGTTTCCAATGTTCGTCGATGGGCCAGCGATGCCGCACCAATTGATCTTTGAACAAAAAGTCATCATCGATTCTTAGAAGCAATTATGACATAATACTGAGCAACAAATAATATAAATAATACCTCTTGCATCGATAAAATGACAGATTTACTTCGAACAATAATTTTATTTATTTTGTCAATGGTACACAATATACAGTAATGTAACGGTTATGCATGAGGGTTAAAGGAATCGTCCACGGAAAAAGCATGGTTCGATTTATTTCACTCATAAGTCAATGGCTTGAGACCTATCATACGATATGAAAGAAAAGACAAAAGCGTTTGTACTGATAAGAAAAAATCTAAAGGACCAATAATACATCTATTGAAGACTTGAATTCCCGCCGTACATCTGTCACAAATGTTGACGGCGAAAACCCTTCACACTGGGAACTTTTTTTGGCAATTACGTTTCCCTCCACTACTGCAACCGATTCTATCGATCGTTTCGTCTCCATTCTCCGAATTCGAACGATTAAATTCGCTCCTTTCAGTGCGTCGTCTAAACGTGGCCGCCTCAAGCGCACTTCCTTCCATGCGCTCCATTGTCACCGCCCAACCTACCCGCGACCGTCCCCATGTACAAGTATTCGTAGCCTTGTTTCTCTTCGAAAGTGAATCTCTTCGCGTGAAACTTTATACTTCATTTTGGAAAGGAATGCAAAAAATTACCCTGAACGATTCCTTCAAGCATTCTAAAGGTTCTCTTAGATGGATCCGTCAGAGAATGAAGACCATGAGTACTATAATATTGTCACAATGAAAGCGGTAAAGGAAAAGAGAATGACTGACGACACCCGAGCCATAAAGACTTTGACAGAAGATGCTGAGCGAGACAATACACAGCTTAGAGGAGAATTTCTCCAGAAAGCGCGATACATCAACAGAAGTGACTGTATCATGACTAAAAACCTGACATAGCTCTGAAAAAGCTAGTTTTATGGTGTAAGCCTCACCAATTTGGTTGTTCAAAGGAATCAAAAATCATCATTCGTTTAAGTACGTTCGAGCTTGATTGTCTCTTCTTGTTGTCCAGTCTCGCCGTTGAACACGAAAATCATCACCTTAACCAATAGAATTCAAGGAGACTCATTAGACTCTTCATCCCCCCACTCCTCTCATGTCCTTCTGCACCTGTGGCGCTTCGATATTGTCTAGCTTCGTAGTTCACAACAACCTATCTGGACGTATCAGCACTGGCCCGTACAGCAATGCAATTCATCGCGAGCTTGCTATTAAAATTGGATCGTTCAGATGGGTCGAACTGAACTTCGGTCTTTGAGAGTTATAACTACACCTCTCCCTCACCGCATCCTACATCAAGACCAGCGCTCGCAGCCGACCACTTGAACAGCTCTTCCATGAAAAAGCTCCCGCCCTCATACTACCACAGAAAATACCTTAAAGGAATCTTCCACGGAAAGAGTGATCATTTTTGTGTGTAGGATTAGTATTATCGAAACTAACGCTTATGTTCCGTTCTTTTTGCTATGCTCATGAGGCTAGGGGCCTAAGGGGTATCGTTTTTCTGTGGTAATGGAGGCGGAGCTTTTTCCGTGGAAGATTCCTTTAAGGGACCGTAGAAGGGGTGTGCCAAGTGATGGCAGATTGTGCGAACCGATCAACACCATCGACCGTTGGAGGGAATCGTATAGAAGGCTCCCTCCAATGGTCTAAAGGGGAAGAGACGCGAAAATTTCGGAAGTGGCACAAATGAGGGTTAATCTCGCAGTACAGTTGATGAGGCTTCCCGTTGCCTTCTATAGCTCACTCAGGCACGTTGAAATCAGTAAACTTCCCCATTCACAAGAAAAATTTCCAACCCTTATTTACGTAATGAAGCATACTACCATTTAATTCTCCATGTATCTCGAATTGCTACAGTAATCGCGAAAATGAGAGCATTTCTCCTAATGCCGCAGGTTCAAGACGGCTGGTAGATTCTTTGATTGCCGCAAGCCTTAATGCCAGGTCAAATGTTTCGCATTAAAACGAGACGTGGCATAGAACAAGCGACGGTATAACCTTGCTGGCAGTTGCGGCGACAGAATGGCGCGATGCTCCTCTGAGGCCGATGTCAGACTTTGCGAGTTCAGCGATTCGCTGCATACGAGCGTTGCACCAGCGAATCGAGCTGTGTACCAGCGAATCGAACTATGTACCAGCGAGTCGAACGATGTACCAGCGACTCAACACTGTTTGAAAGTGGCCCAACGTTTAAAGGAAGTCCCGCCACTTTCAAACAGTGTGTTCCTTTGAAGTGGACTTCCTTTGAACGTTGGGTCCCGCCACTTTCCAACAGCAGCTACATTACATCCTTCGATCCGCTGGTACTCAGCTCAATTCGCTGGTGCAACGCTCGCATCCAGCGATACGCTAATGAATTGTTGGATTCGCAAAGTCTGACATCGGCCTTACTGGTTGCACTTGTGCCAGCAAGCAAGACGGTTCGGGTTCAATTCCCGACAGGAACAAACTGTTTGGTCATAAAAGGGCATCATTGCGAAATGCCTTTCACTCTCCTGAGCCCTCATTCATGTGCGATCTTGAAGAGTGGGTCTCTTGTTTTTGCTAAAATGGACGAGTGCATCAGCCGCCGCGTGACACCCCCAAAGCATCATGCAGTAACCTCACGCCGATTAGGTCTAAAAAAGCTTGAGATTTGTGTCGAAATCTTTCCAAGCCGTTTGTAGAGCAGTGGAATGCAGGCATCCAGCATCCTCACTAGCATAACTCTTGAATGGAACGTTGACCAGATTCGTTGTTTTTTATCACAAAAATTTGCAACACACCTCCAATCGAATCGGATTTCGAATCACGTTGTGGAAGAGCAACTTTGCTGATAGTGAGCCAAGACCGGGAATTTGCAGCACTTCATCGCCGACTTCCACAAGATCCGAACGAGAAGAAGTCAGTCGAAAAGTGCGCGGAATACTGTACGGGTTTGTTATTGGTAGCTTCTGAAAATTTAGTTATCAATCTTTACTAGGGAGAGACCGTAACAGTAATAGTCAATAAAACGTCAACTGAAACAGTTCTTCTTGAAAAAAAAAGAAAAACAATAGAAAAGAAAGAGCAAGCAGTGAAATAAAGAGAAAAGGTGAAAGGAGCAAAAAAGATTTCCCGCCCTTGCCGCACTTCAGCGATTTTTTCGGAGCTAATACTGCCGTCATTGTCGATGGTCTTCCAGAAAAATTATCCTTCAAGTGCCGCTCCTTCACTGCCCTCATCGTCATTAGAAAATTACGTCATCCCAGAGTCGTTGAGCTCTAGGAGACATACAGTATTTCCTCCAGCCTGAAGCTCTTACAAAATTTCTTGGCGATTTACATCGGCTAGTTTCCTGGGACATTAGCTCTGTGTAATTAGGCGAACCTTCTCCCAACAAAGTTTTCAGGAGACGTCGTAATGGTACACAATCAGTGGAGGACCCCGGTGAGCTCGGCCCAGGCACCATCTTTCCGTGGCATTTCCAATCTATCTACGTATAAAGCCCCTAGGACTTTCTTTACAAAATTTATTGTGCTCTTTCGAGTTGGGAGCTTTCGGCTTGAAGCTGATGCGAGGGAGCGGTGATAATTCCACTAAAATGTCGGGACACAATGCATTTCATTCCCCCCCCTTTTACACACTCTACGCATGATTGTTCACTGGACGTTGTTAAGCAGTCCTGAATATAATATAGATGGTAATCCGTGATGTGCTCATGCAGTCGGCATTGCTCTCGCAGCTGAAGAAATATACCAGAGCTAGAAGCCTTGCACTTTTGCCCTGCTAATATTAACCGCATTCCACTTCCTCTTCAAGTTCCCTCATCTCGTGTAGTTCAAATAGGGCACGTGAGCGCTGCGCTCAGGCAGTTCTTACCCGAAAGGTCTTTCAGGACATACCCGCTTTTTAACACGTTGGAGACTGCGCAAGATTTATGTTTTGCGGCCGCCTAGGACCTCAGTAAAATTTTTAGGAATCTTTTCAAGCGAGGATTGAAACGAGAAATATAAACATACTCGTTCGATGCAGAAGAAACCTTTCCGAAGAAACAGAGAGAAAAACAAAAAAAGAACCCAATATTTGTTCCCAATATGTGCTTTGAGGTCCTACGCGCTCGGCGGACTGCAGCCCTCATATAGGGGCTGTAATAGGCTTTCGTGGTGTTAAAATTGGTTCTTAGCATAATGTAGAGGTATACGCATTTGAGGTGAAGTAAGGCTTATTTTTCCTGAACGGCCTCTGAATGCCAAGAAAGGACACGAAAAAGTTCAAGCGCACACATCAAATCAGTTTTCGGCAAAACCTGCTCATAGAACTTGCTGATGGTCGTAATTGTGATATGGCATTCAGTACTAGCCATGGGTACCATTTTGCGACTCGTGCAATCATCAATGAAAACCAAAACTTCGTCACCATGAGGGATTAAAACGCAACCATCTTTGATCCGTTTTCTGCCGTTCAGAGGGTCGCCAGAGAAAATGGGGTCTAGGTGCAAGCCCTACTACATGCATTAACACGCTGCTAAAAGCTTGTGGTGCAACGACCTGAAAGATCTTCCTGAGAGTTTTGGCGAAACTGTTGATGGCTTCTCGTTTTCCCTTCATACATATGGCCTCTCTAATCCCAATTTGTTCTCTCTTTCTCTTTTACCGGTAAGGCATGGTGCAAATTCCTTCGGATATCAGGATAGAGACCTAGACTTATTGAACGTGTTAGGAATGGTAGTAACAAATATGGAGAACAGACCTGCTACGTGAACTTTCTGATCAAATGATAGGCTGTGAAATTTGACTGGAAAATTTCTTTGAGTCTTCGCATATAGGGCGAACATGGCATTCATGTCAAAGAAGCTAGCTGGCGCAAAACTTATTTTTTGTCATTTAAAGTTTCACGGGAACTTGGAGGCCTTTCCTCGTTAGACTACGTGTCCCATAAACTGCTTGTGAATTCGTTGAAGGAGGTTCTTGTTTTTATTTCTCTGTGCGGTTTCTTTCCACTCTTTCCACTAATGACCGCATCTCTACTTTCATTTTCGAGCAAAACCAAAATAATTATTTACATAGGATGTGCCTTCAAGAAACTGGAATAAGAACAACAGAAATATTGAAATAGAACTCAGAAAGGGCTCTCACTTTGACTATAATGCTTTCCTCATCAATTGGCACTCGCATATCGTAGATTTTCGAGATGTTGGGCTCTTCCGCTTTTGCGTACGCTATCCACGCATTCAGCAGCAGTTTTGATGACACGTCAACTGCTGTGATCAGGTGCAAGCGTCGCCCTGAATAAAGTGAGGAATTTGAGGTCAGGAGGATTTAGAAACAAAAAAGAACAAAATAATGAATAAAGGGAATAAGGAAAACGGCAGTTTGATATTGCCAGCTGGTCGGGGTCACGATGGAACTTGCTTTTGTTGGTTTGAAAAGGGCAGCACCCATAAGAGTCGCATCAAAGCGGAAATCAACGAGCAAGTTCCAAGCCGTTTCACATGGTTTTTCTTTCACCCTTGCTCCACTGACTCCCTCTACTCTTATATCCAGTGAGCTACTTTTTCATCGCCAAATTTGCCTTTAGTGGAGGACTCTACGATAATAACGAAGAAGAAGGAGAATTTATATATGGAGAGGAAGGCGGACCTCCTAAGGGTGCGGACCAACACGCAATTCGCATCGAAGGATATGCCCCCGGCGATCTAGCATGGCTCCTCTTGGCGCGGTTGGCGGGAACGCCCACCGACTATCTAATCACTCGCCGCAGGTCTATACGTGGCGAGTGATTAGATAGCAGAGAGAGCGTAGTGTTGAAGAGGGCACAGCGATGAGAGTCGCATCAATGCGCAAATCAACGGGCAAGGAAGGGGTCCCATTTCTCGGGTTCTGGGCCGTTTCTCATGGTTCTTCCTTCTTTCGTGTACCACTCACCATCCCTAGGTTAATTTTTTAGGTTTGCTTCACTGACCTTAGCCTTTGATCTTCTAATGAGCTACCTTTGCATCGTTAAAATCTGCTTTAGAGTATCAATATTCCGTTACAAATCCTGAGCTCTGTCTTCTCTATGGTTTGAGTTGCTAAATGACCCCATCTTTGCACTGCGAAACAGGAAACCATGGCGGAGGATTTGATCTCGGTGGAGTGCCGTAATTTCGCCAAATGACCTCCATGGTTAACTCGTCCTCTTCTGAATCCACGCGACAAAAGAGGGTCTCTGGGCCCTTTGTCAATTCTCCTGCATTTTTACCGATGCGCTATCCGCACCACCTCTGTTTTCACGGTTTCGTCAATATTGCATTCTAATTGCTGCCTTCAAATGATTCCAACAAAACCTTTCAAATATTTGTAGATTGGTCCCAGAGTCCTAAGAACAAAGAAGGGAGGTACCTGAATAATCTGGTGTGTACTGAACCATTAACTGCTGGATTTCCTTGGTGATCAGAAAAGGTTGCGATGAGACAGACCGTAAACATGGTGATGACGAGAAAACTTGTACCAGCTGATTGCTCGTTTCCAAACTGAAAACAGCTATTCGCTCTCACTTTCCCAGTTCACACGAAATGCAAATGTATTTTGCTTAGCGACAAAAAATATTTTTTACTAAATAAAAAAGTCGGGAAAGACGCAGCTGTCGCATCTGTTATTATCGCTTCTCCGTACTGGAGTGAAGCTGCCAATGACATCCCAACTTTCATCGAACCAAACCGGAGCTTTGGTCTTGCACCATTCCTCTGAATCGGTTTTTTTTCATGCACTTCGTGAGCATGAAGACGCCACTAACCGGCTCTGTGGCTTGGTGCATTTCTACTCAGGCTTAATAGGGTTTATGCAGCATTTTATACTTCGAGAATAAAACCTTTAGGTCCTTCCTGCTTTCTGTTATACTGCTCAACACAATCTAAATCAATCTCAATCTCCTGTAAGTAAATTTCTTGACTCCTAGACAATATTACTAAAATTTGAGCCGGAAGGCCAAAGATTAGAGAGCGAAGCTGAGCCTCGAGATCGTGCTCTGCCGGCCGCGATCGCCACTTTTTTACACTGAGGACCGACTCTAATCGTATGTACGTACAATAAAAACGAAAACAGTGCATAGGCGTTTCCATAGTTTCAAAGGATCGGAATACCTTCATGACACTTACGTATCCTGCACCAGGTTCTTGATTGCCTTTGCTAATCATGCTGATTTTACACTTGATTTATTTTAATCCGTCAAGTCACTTTTGCTCTTGTAACAAAGTGCACGAGCGCATGAAGCATGCTGACGAAAGTGTTCGCGAGATATCTCACTGAGCCGCAGGGGATCCGATGCTTCAGCCTTTATGGGTTAAAGACGCAACCCAGGCAGAAGTGGTGTGAGCGATTTCCTTCTATCTGTAGGATAGACCCCTATATTCACAGCTGTGGCATTTCCCGGGCAATCACCTGACGAGAGCGCTTGGGCAAAGCAAAGTAAGCTGCTGCAGCTGCAATTTTTTCAATTATCAGGCTGTTGTCTGGCGCCTCTCATCTGTTGCGCTCTCTCGCCTCATACTCTCCTCTCCGCGCTTAGTCTCTCATTGCCTTAGCACAGCCGATTCAGGAAGGTGAGTGAGCCCTTAACCCCCGTTTTTCGACGGATTCTTTTCCCTTTTTCTTTACTGCCGGCACATTTGCAACATAACACAAACACCAACACAACGTATTCGTGTGCAAGAGTCACTGCAATTTGATCCTGAGGTATGCCTTCAAGTCCTTCACATTCCTAGGTGGGAAGCGTCTGGAATATGGGACCTTTTAATCTTCTTTGCGGAGTGTTCACTTTTCTGCAATGCTGCTTGGCAGAATGATGGGATGTAAGGATTGCTCTTCTCTCAAATTTAGTCATATTTTTTTCCAAGCTGTTGGTTCACAACCCAGTTACACTGGATCTCTTCCACGGCTATCCTCAAATTTACTGAAAAATATGAAAAATTATAATAATAAAAGGCTCTTGGTCTCAATCCTTCTTCCACTGCGTGGCATTCCAGGCTATGGAGTGAATAATCCAACGGTAGCCATCAAATTCACAATGCCCTTATTTGCGTCCATGCAAATAATACACCTTAGTGTTCGAAAAAGCATGTTAGTGAAAATAGCCCTCCTAGCGATCTGTGAGGTCAGCTATTTTCATGCCAAATAATTCGATTGATTTGAAATTCTATCAGGATCACGAGGAACCTATGCGAAGAAAGGTGCAAGTCCGAAACCACACATTCAGCCGTCCTTTCACATTCGAGCTCGTCCCGGATGATCGACAACCTTTTTCAATACATCTGTATAAATTATGTATACAGCTGATTGGCATACATCTATATACATAGTTAGTATTGCTCATCGTTACACAGTACTGATAAGTTTGTTGTTCGATTCAGACAAAAGCATACTGCTCACATACGTCAACACACACACGCATATCCAAAGAAAACAAGAAAACAGCTGACATCTAAGGAGTGCCTCTTGTCAGCTGTTTGAGACGCCAGGCGTCGAAGGACGGAATGTGTTTTAGCGCCACATGGCACGGAATCTCCACACGTGAGGGAAATGAGATTGTTCGAATAGAATATGATTGAAAAATGATGCACAGTAATTTAGGAGCTGATAGAAAGCTGAAACGCTAGGCACCGACAAAACCCGATGGGACTTACTGAGTTGGCAAATAAGTTTATAGCGTTCTTATTTATCTGGTTAGCCCTCATTCAACACAAGTCTCAACCAGCCAAATTATCGAAAGCGCTCATTCTGCTCACAGTGCCAGTCCTATCAACTTCTTCGATATTCTAGCTCCATTTATGAATACAGGGGGGGGGGCAGAAGCACGAGTCACTTCCCTTCACATTCAAGACGAAACTATTTGTGCGCTGCAGAGTCAAACCTAATGACCCTAACTGAATACTTGAGAGCATATTCTGATATATCAACAAGTTACATGACAGCCTTCCACACCGACGACGTTCAGAAGTCTACAGAAACAGGTGTTCACCGGTGTGTCAGCAAGAGAGTGTCGAGGTACCATAGACCATTACGACGTCCCTGAAACGCTGGTCAAAAGCGGTCTTGCATAGTCACAGCTAGTGTCTGGAGAAGCTATTCACAGTCAATCCATTGAAGAAATTATGTAGCAGCTTCAGGCCGGAGCGATTACGGTAAGCCTCGTTGAGCTTGACGGTGACGGCAGATGACGTCATAGAATGGCCAGTTTCTGCTTATGGGGAAACACCTAAGGAATTCTTTGCCGTAGCACATTTATCAACAGCGGCATTGTGTCCGACGAAAAATTTGATGATGTGCGCCATGGGCTAACAATAAGTGACTTTTTTGCCCTTCCCCCTGTAAGTAAAATAGACTACAGATGAACGAGGCATACGTCCAGAACGATCAAACATTCTGGCGGTCAATATGGGCGTTTCCAAAACTGCTGTTCTTTTGCAATTGTAAGTGCAAAAAAAGCTGTCAAAGAGATTGGGTGACTGCGGATGTTGCATAAGAAGGCTACAGGCCAATCGACTGCTTGAAGTGAATCGGTCACCTTCCAAAAATGCGAAAGATTGACTTCGATTTAGGTGACACGCCGCACTAAAAAGTCAAGAAGTCTGTTGGGCTTAAAAGTTCTCGTGCTATGGCGAGCATTCATGAAAAGGTCGACAAAAACCTTTGGAAAGCTGGATTGTTTCGCATGAAGTCAATACAGTTTTTAAAGGACGCAACAAGTTTCTGTGGATTATTCTCCAGTTCAACGTCACACCCTCAACGCGGCATCTCCAGCCCACTCTACCAGACCACCGAGAACATCCTTACACATTCAAAAATATACTGGCACAACGAGCAGTCGGAACTGGGGTGGTCGATTGTGCGCCATGAAACAATGAAGAGCGCAGCAGTTCTAGCCGAAGGCTCAACTTTAAGGTTTCAGTTCCCGCTAACGATTTCGAGAACTTTTTTGAGCGTCGCTCTTTGGTTCAAGCGAGGAAAATGGCATGCAAAACAAATGGCTCACATGTCACGTGTGGCCGCAAGCCGAAACCTCAGCTAGAGGTTCAAATATGCTCTCATTCGAGCTATTTTTAGCCACACCCTAGCGTCTCTTGTACACTGCAGACTGCGTGCGCGGTTCTGGTGCCTCACTGAGAAACTGTCTCATCTCAAAAGAATAGGATTATTTTGAAGGAAGTACCACACAAAATCTACAGGGATTACATCTACAGTAGTGGCCAGAAATTTATGAACAAACAATTTTTTCATGATTTCTCTTTTAGAAGT